GGGCCTCTACCACTTTAAAAGTGAGGCTCCTCTTTCATTCTAGAAATGACACACTCACCTCAGTCCACACACTGCCCAACTTTTTCCTCCATAAATGGGCAGAAGTGGTTCAGGGTCTGCCTTGATGGAGCTGCTGGGAAGCAAGGCCCCCCGGAAGCCCACACTGGGGTCTAGCCGGCAGGGGCCACAGAGCTGCTCTTCAGGCGCAGAAGTGCAGCGGGGGCTTGTCCTGTAGCTTCTCACGGCCTAGAATCTTAGGAACAGGGAAAAGCATCATAAGTTTTACTAAAAAGGTGTGCTCAGAGCAAAGCAGAGGGTCACTTCCACCAACTTTAGCACTTACTGTACATCAATAGGAGAGAACCCCCATTATTAAAATTGATTCAGCAATTCTTTTTATAAATCATAGTCCATTTGTAAATACCTTCCTAATTCATTTTTTTTGAATGTTTAAAATAAAGCACAACTATATGGTATTTTTGCTTTTAAAGTCAGTATTTTTGAGATATTACAGCATTTTATTTCTCCTTTGTTAAAGTGTGTGTGGATTTTATGTGTTTTATCTTTCTTTTACATAGACTCCTGGAAGTACAAGGGTCTTAGGGTTCATTCATTTCCTGTTGCAATGGAAAATTTGATGTCCATAATTTATAATTCCCCTTAAATTATACTGTAAAAGATCAAAAGCAGGCTTGATACTGTAAGAAAGTAAACCTTTTAATCTATTTGGAATATTCTCACAAGGAATGATTTTTGTGCCAGTGTATTTAAGTCCTCAGTTTTTATATTTAGAAACCTGTACATAAATTTATCAGGTTATATTCAAGAAAGTCTTAAAGAGCAATTCATGAGTGAGAAGTATAGCTAACCACTTCTAAAAAATTTTTTTTTCAAATGCCATTTCAGAACCATAGTTATATGTCTTCTGTAAAATGTCAATTAACAAATTCCCGGGGTATTTAAAGCTTTTAAAAGATGTCAAATTAAGGACCAGACAGATAGCTCAATGGTTAAAGCGCCTGCTTAGGCAGGTGCAGGGACCGGGGTTCTATCCCCAGCATACCGGGCCACCATGCCCCTGGAGCACACTGAGAAGGCGATTGAGACTGGGTGATTGAGACTGGGCATGGTGGCACGCTCCAATTAATCCCAGAGCTTGGAAAGCTGAAAAAGGAGGATCATTACAAGTCCAATCTGTGTAATGAGACCATGTAGACCCTGTAACAAATACATTTAAAAAATAAATAAATGAATAAATGTCAAAATTGAACTTGTTCTATTTGGAGGAATGGGTAGTTCAGGTCAGTGACGAGGGAATAGCAGAAAATCGCATTTTGCCTGCGGAAGTCTGAGCTCTGAGTCCAGGTCAGGCAACGTCAGTTCCCACACAGAGACCTGCTGCCTCATGGCTGGAAAACCAGAACCTTTTTAATCCTTGACCTCTTTTCATTGAAATAAGCCCATAAATTAGCATTGAAGGACAGAGTAGAAGAACAGAAAGGTCAGTTTTTCATGCTGTTTTTAATACCAGGAAGGTTTGAGATTCACATGAACTATGGTGTATGTTCTGCGAGAGAGAAGGAAATAGCCTGTGGCACCAAGTGTTGATTCTGGGTTCGGCTGGAGACAGTGTGGCCGAGCGCTCTGCTTGGCGGGTGACCTGGAGCCCTTCTTTTTCAGATCCTTGAAGACAGATGTGGCTGATGTGCGAGTTTAAAACTAAAAACGTTTATGCCTAATGTTTCAGTTTCCACTGTGAAATAAGATGTGTCCAACTCAGCGATAATAAGCGACACCCATAAGAAAGTCAGTGTAGCAGAAAGAGAAAAGCATGATGGAGTTATTTAACCAAACTTTTACATCACATGGGAGCCTTTAAAAATGAATACCCAGGGCCGGGGAGATGGCTCCATGGAATAAGTGCTTCCCTGGCAAGCACAAGGGCCTGAGTTCAATCCCTGGTTCTGCCCAAAAAAAAAAAAAAAAAAAAACAAACCTAGAGGCTCACAGAACACTAACACAGAAATATGCTTGGAGAACCACAGGACATAATCTAATGCAGTGTACTTGGGGAAACTCTCCAAGGCCTGTGTTCAGATTCTTCTTGTTCAAGGGGCCAACTCCTAAATAGCCAAGAAGTCACAGAAGATGGAAGAGAAATTAGGAAATACTTCATGGTGAATGAAAATGAATATGCAGCAGAAGCAGTGCTTAGAAGCAGATACATACCTTCAGATGCTGGGGTTGAAAAAAAAGGAAATTTCAAATTGATTAAACTTCTACCTGAAGACACTGTGCGGGTAAGAGAAAGAAGGGGCAAAAAATTAAAAGGGTCTGAGATGAAATCTGAAAGCTTAGACAAATTGGCCCTAGTGGAGAGCAGCTCCTCTCTGTAACTCAACAAATAGGACAGGATGGATGGCTGTGTGTTTCTGTAGGACAGGTAACAAAGTCGCTCTCGGCTGCCGTTTACTTTCTTTGTAAGGTTGGAGTGCAGTCACTTGCATTGTACAGGAAAATGACGCACTGAAAATGTGAAGACAGTGGGAAGTTGAGACAGTGTTCATACAGAGTAACTGAACTAGTCCTGTGTACAATTAACTGGAGAAAATGCTTAACACTTTGTCTGGTTGAGGCTGTGTTTAAGGTTGGTGAGCTTCTTCCAGCTCCTTAGCCTTGGCAGGTAAAGGCACAGAAAAGCCAGGTGTTTGTTTGCACTTGTGTATGCGTGCCTTTGCCCAGTGGGTAAGATGGAATGAGAGAGGAGCAAGGCTATTTAGGGTTTTGTAGTCTTTATTGAGCAAGGAAAAGGCACGAGATAGAAAACAGTGAATGAGGAGACAAGCGCCAGTAGAGGGGTCAGCGACTTAGCCGTCGCAGAGTGTTATCCAGATCAACTCTATAAGGGCAAAGAATTCACGGTTTATTCCAGAATCTGTGTGTCCTCGCTCCTGGAATAGTGCCTGGCACATGTAGGCAACTGGGTGACAATTTAATAAGGAAGCTGAAACATCGGAAGTTGCAGTCAGGCTGAATGACAGAGGAGGTCGTTATGCACTGTGGATAATACATGTCTGACATGTGCCTACTACGGTTACTTTCTCAGGAACTAGTAGCTTTTACTACAGCATTCTTTGGACTTTTATGGGGACAGCATATTTTCGTTAGAAATAAAGTATACAGCCATTTTTCTACAAATGGGTCAGTTGACCTTTTCCAAATGAATACCATTTAAGTCCACTGGAGCAATTTAAGAGTTTTTAGATTTGACTTTATACGGGCAAAACACACAAGCCGAACACGTCTGCCAGCTATCCTCCTTTCCACATTAACCTAGTCGTATCCTCAGAGGCCGAGCTCACGGTGCTTACCTGCAGCCATCAGCTGCTGTACGTATTATGCTTATCGCCAGCGTGGACAGTTGCATGTTTACATGGTTGACTCACTCCTCTGAAATACACTGACCTTTCAGTAGGCTTTAAAAGACCTCTTTTGCTTCTTGTCTAGGACCTAAGCCTCTTTCAAGAGTAGGGATGGTTATTTACCAGAAGTTTATAGGAAGAGGCTAAACTGATCTTAAAAAATTAATTTTTAAACAGTGCCAATGTTTTTATATTTAGTTAAATGAACCCAAGGGTAATTTTGGTTTTGAGAATTCAGAAATACTGCCCCACATGTCTATTTTTAGATGACTTCTGTGTCTTTCAGATGTCCTTTCACAGGACTTGTCTCTCTGCTCCTACACCCCGGTATAAGTACTTGTACAGAGTAGGTCATGGTTAAAGCCACACCCTGGTGGATCTTTAATAATAAGCGGCTCTCTGGAATGTCCTTACGCCCTGTCAAATCTCTTTCTTGTCTGGCAGATGTCTTTGATCGTTTGGCTCACACCTCACCACTAGAAATGTTCCCAGCTCTTAAAGCCCTCTGACCTTTGGGTATTTCATATTTATTTTCTGTTGTAGCATTATTATTTAGTCATACACTTGTTTTTTATTCTTGATTTTTGTCTACCAGGGACAGAAACATCAACATTCCTTTTTAATGCCTCTCCCTCCCTCCCTCTCTCTCTTCTTTTCTACCTTACTCCCTTGTCTCCCTTACTGATTTGCCTGGCCCATAATGTGGCTGTTATGCAAGTATAGATATGGATGTGTGTGTGTGTGTGTGTGTGTGTGT